TTATCGCAATGCATGTGCACCCAATTTTTTTCCAATTATCTGCCCTTATTAAGCGATTATTCTCCCTTCATAGAAGAGTTCTAACATCGCCATATTGGTTTACAGTTCGTGTGTCTTTTTGAGTTGAATAAAACCTGAATCGCCCAAAGGTATATATATATATATATATATATATATATATATATATATATATATATATATATATATATTATTATTGATTTAAAATATGGTTTTCCGCTACACAGTTCTAACCATGTTTCAAAAAATGGAAGGTCCGAATTTAATTTTGTAATTAAATTAAAGACATTAGTTCCATTTCATCCTCAAGCGAATTTTGGAGTAACTTTTAAAATTACTGGGTTTTAAAGACACAGCTAAAATCATAATTCACGTTTTCAAGGTTACAGATAAATTCACTTCCACTAGACAGAACACCGGATTATATACCTTACTGTTCTTTCTTTATATATATATATATATATATATATATATATATATATATATATATATATATATATATATATCAATGGACGCTGAAGTCAAAGGTTCTGCAGTTACTTTCCTTGTTGGCTACCGTATCAAGTAATTTTCAGTCGTTTTTAATGAAACTTGTATAAAAGAATGATTTTTGTCCAAATACACAATTATTAAATTACGTGATCCCGCAGCCAAAAAGGAAAGTAAACACACAACCTTTTCAGTCGTCTATAATGAAAGTTGTGTAAAAGAGAGATTACTGCCCAAATACCAAATTATATATATATATATATGTTGTGTGTGTGTGTGTGTGTGTGTGTGTGTGTGTGTGTGTGTGTGTGTGTGTGTGTGATGCTAAAAATTATAATGGGAGTGAGGTTAGAAAGGTCAAATATGGACATATATTTTTCTTGTTTTTAATCAGTAATATTTTTCTTACGCTTGAATATACATCCGCAGAAATCCCAAAATAGTATGCAGGGTTAGAGGGCGTAAGAAGATTGTGTTACGCCAATTAAACTGGATCCGAATATTAATTGCTTTCATAGGAAAGACGCACCTTGCAAACATTTATCATAGATTTTACCGTAAATGTTCATTAGACTACACTTGCAATTAGAGCCGGTACAAGGGTCTCGTGCCTCCCACCCAAAACCATGATACCCACCCGACAAATCTATGATACGACTCTCTATTCTACTACATGTCAATTTTCATAAGTCAGTATTCATATAAAATAGAAATTTTATTGTAATTTAATTATGTACAATAATGAATCAAATGCAAAATAGGTGAACAATTCAACTAGAATAAATATCGGATGTTTATGCGATGGTCGGATTCCAAAAGGGGATAGTAGTCTATCCTTGACAATCAGCCTTCCAAGTTTTTGTTTTTTTCCACAGCAAAAAATAAGTATATTGTCTACACGACATACTTCTAAGCTTATCTTAGTTTAGTATAAAGTCGTAATAACAAGATAGTGAGTAAGAATTAGAACTCGGGAGCAATATGTATATATCTGTACATATTGTTGATGTATATGAAGAAAGCTTGGAAGACTTCACATGGCATAGTGAGTTCAAGAGAGATAGAGGAAGACAGCAACTCACCTAACTGACGAGATTTTGTGAATGGATAGAGGAATTCTCGTCGGCGTGAAGCGGAACCAACTGGTTAAAAATACGTTGGATTATAAGAATTAAAGAGTGCTTGGTAGACGTAACCCTCACATGGCATATTGAGGGCAAGATAAGGGAGAGTCACCTACCTAACGAGCTTTTGTGAAGAGATGCTAAGAGCCACAAGGTGTAGAAAGCATTGGAGAGCCATTATCGCTCATGTCCGGAAGGGACGCGGTGAAATAAAAGTATCTACTATATACAAATTGTGAGCGCGTGACTGAAGGATTCGAGCGTTAGCGTTTTAATCAAGAACCCGGGTTCGAATCTCAATACTTACATCTGCGTCATTAACTGGTTTGTTTTTTACGGCTTATCAATCTTTTGAGAGATATTTTTAAAGCCAGAAATTATTTTTAGATTGTCAGAATTTCTTGGCGATAATAATTATTTACTGATACAAGTCCTACTAATTAACCCATAGCTGGGGAGAGAAAAGGCGCATTCATACTTGTGTTAAGGATATTTGCGCGTAAGTGGATACAACGGACCCCACTGCAATTGGAACACGGATCTCCGATTTCTAGTTCCTAGCCGTTACTCATTACACCACTCGCGCATCCAAGTTTAAAGCACCTGGTATCCCCAAGCGGTCACCAATCTAAGTACTAACCAAGCTCAGCGTTGCTTAACGTCCGAGAAGCGATGTTTCAGCGTAATATGGTCGTAAACCAATATATGGTTGAGATTATACTAGCGGGCAGCACCATTTTGGAAGTGGTTGAAAAGTATAACACGGTTTGGCCCAAGCCCTTTTAGAAACTGTTAGACGAAAGTATTTGAAAGCTATCGATGGTTGTGTTATGAAAAAGTCGCAAGTCCTCATCGTGTAGGCAGATAAAAACTCTTTCATTCGCAGTCAATTGTCTTTTAGTGGCTCCCTATTTTGCATGGGGCGATATATATATATATATATATATATATATATATATATTTTAATGCATATATTCTGTTTCTAGCGATGGATGTCGCCAATAATCGCATTAATACTTCTGATTGATTCTATGTGTGATTATTTCTTTGTATGTAAATTATATGCTGCCTAATGTTTTATGTTTATAAAAAACTATCGATCCGCAGTACATAAAAATTCCTATAAAAAAACTACTACTAAGACATTCCACTATATTATTGAACTATATACTTAGTTCATGACATAAAAACTGAATACACTTGTAAAATAGAATACGTGGATTTAACACATCACAAGAAATATTTAAATAGAATTCTCACTTAAAATTTTGAAAAACTTAGCGTTGCGTCTTTGCACGTTCCGAGATCTTACACAACCGTCAATAATAGCAGATATTCAAAAAACATCTTTCGGTCGACATACAAGTATTTCGTCTTCAAGTTTTTGATTTTATAAGGAAAAAACACACGCCTGATGATGAATAGAGGACTATTCGTAAATACTAGGATTTTAAAATCAAATAAACTGAAAACTACAGACATCAAGTTTATCGACGAGCATCACTACGCACTATGGATTAACAGTATTTTAATGCATATATTATGTTTCTAGCGATGGATGTCGCCAATAATCGCATTAATACTTCTGATTGATTCTATGTGTGATTATTTCTTTGTATATATATATATATATATATATATATATATAAGAGAAAACGAGAATTTGTAAACAGTGACTATTACTGTTGTTGATACAAGACTCTTCGTTAAGACGAATCGAGTTCTCTGGTTACTGGCGTGTTTGTCTAAAAATAAATTCACCTTCATCCCTGTCGTGCGCCAATGGGGTTAAAATTAATGGTAAAATCTCCGACTGATACCAAATCAGTCGGGTTTCGATACCGGTTTGAGTCAGTCGGATTTTTAACCATACTGATGAGCTTCTCTCTGGACCTTCTTTGCCGTAGGGCTGCTTGCAACTTTTCATCGTGACTTCCCTTTGGTGAGGCGCGAGCGAATTCTCATTCCGGAAATGCGGCCCAGAGAAGAAGCAGAAAAAAAAGTTTGGAAAACACTGATTTATTTTAGAGCAACAAAAAAAAGACAGGAAGTTGTGGAGAGCCGCGATCGCCCGCATCTTGAAGGTCCATGGAACTTGAGAGTTAGAAGAAAGATTTGAGAGAGAAAAAAAAAGTTTTACTTTTGTGGGTGTATGAAATTATGTAAAGTTTATTTTATTTATTTATTTATTTATTTCATTTATTTTTTTATTTATTTTTGTATGCATTGCCAACTGCATTTAGTTACACGATGCAAAGAAATGGTGTGTTTGTGATATTTGATCTGTTTACATTTACAGCTTGAAAAGTGTACAATGAACATATTTACACTGCGCGGTTTTCCATAATACCAAGGGGGTATTAGGAATATCGCTTACTCAGTCAGGGAGTGGCACGGGCATAAACAGTGTGTGTGTGTGTGTGTGTGTGTGTGTGTGTGTGTGTGTGTGTGTGTGTGTGTGTGTGTGTGTGTGTGTGTGTGTTTAAATAAGCATGAGTGAGAACTTTGTGTCGTACTTAGCCTCTAGTGAAACCCTGGGCATGTCCACTTCTTCGGTATAGATGCCCGCTGTTTAGACAAAAAGAAAAACAAAAAAGTAAAACAAACAAACTAAAAATAGGCGTTGCCTAGGACAAAATAAAATTATAAAAGGCTAGAAGCGTGAAAAAAGAAATGACAAAAGCAGAGATAGCAAAAGGAAACCTTATGAGAGAGAGAGAGAGAGAGGAAAGAAAAATATGAAAAAAAAAATATCATAAAAAATAATTTAAAAACAAAATGTAATAAAAATGAAAAGAAAAAGGCAAAAATAAATAAACAAAGAGAAAGAAAGGTTTTTAGCTGCTACGCCTTCGACCCTGACCCTTGACCTCGAATTGGCATACATCTCAGCCAATGAGAAGGCGAGATACTGATCGGGTGATACACAAGCCAAATTTACCAACTCTAAAGTTTGACACGGGCGACTTGTGTACTATACGCGTGAACAACTGTATGTCATTGTACACTATAACACTTTGTAATATGTTCGCCGTGTTAAACATATTCTTTTTTGCTGTTGTGTGCTTTTGTTTCTGCATTTTACAATTTATAAATATCATAAAAATAATTTAGCTTCCCAATACGCTGTAAAGAGCGAACGTCCTCCTAACTGAAAAAAAAATATAAAAATGATAATTTGTTTTTTGACTTCTGTTTTGTTTAGCCAGCAAAACAGGTCTCGAACATATGCAATCGATGTGTTCCTGTTGCTGACAGAAAGGCAAACACCCAACACAAGTCTATGTGATGAAGTGGGGCACTTTTGGGGAATCAAATGCACAACAATTAAAGATCTACGAAACTAAATTGCTATCATTATTATCTATTCTACTGTGATGTGTCCCTTTTATTTACATATGTGCGTGTGTGGCCGGGTGCGTACATGTTTGTGTGTGTATAGATAGATAGATAGATAGATAGATAGATAGATAGATAGATAGATAGATAGATAGATAGATAGATAGATATTAACAAAGACAGATAAATAGATATATAACAAACTGAGGCAGATATTAACAAATTAAGATAGATAGATAGATAGATAGATAGATAGATAGATAGATAGATAGATATGAACTAAGATAGCAAGAAAAGTCTGAGGTATAAATATTTCGCCTCCCGATGATGGCCATTTCGGTCGAAACTAGTCGAGGAATTTAAATGGAATAATAATAATAATAAAAAAACGAAAGAATATTAATCTACAACCCAGTGTGTCTAATGATTTTAATTTTTTAATTTTTTAATTTTTAATTTTCTTATTGTTCAAAATATATATATATATATATATATATATATATATATAATGTGTGTGTGTGTGTGTGTGTGTGTAATATATTATGTCTACTGTGGATATGAAATATTCAGGGTTGTCCGAAAGTTTTGTCATAATTACATGATAATATATATATATATATATATATATATATATATATATACCCAAATATATAATTGGTATATACGGAATGAATTCCAATAACCAACAATTACTATTCTTAAAAGAGTGCTCAATACAAAGTAGAGCAGATATAATTATTTTTATAAAAAAAAAAAATTATAAAACATAAAAATAGCCATTTTGTTTCATAAAATCACATCATCACAAAATAGCCATTTTGTTTCAACATCATACTTATGTTAATTGTTTTATTTTTGTAGTGATGATGTTGAAAATATAAATTATTATTTTATTTTTAACATCATCACAAAATATTATTTTGTTGATTTTATAACATACTGATTTTAATAACATTTTTATGATTTTATAATTTATTTATTTTATTATTATTTTGTAGTGATTTTATAACATACTTATGTTATAATTTATTATTATTTTTGTAGTGATTTTATAACATACTTATGTTATAATTTTTTATTATTTTTTGTAGTGATTTTATAACATACTTATGTTATAATTTATTATTATTTTTGTAGTGATTTTATAACATACTTATGTTATAATTTATTATTTTATTTTATGTAATTGATTTTTTGTATAACAACATACTTATGTTATAATTTTTTTATAAAAAATTATATATATATATATATATATATATATATATATATATATATATATATATTTCCCCAGATGGCTGAAACTAAAATGATAGTATTCATACAGACCTTCTTGATGTGTAACAGCGTCAATGAAAGTGAATAAACTGAATCCATTACATGTTCTTCTATTGCCCTCATTATTTTTGGTAGAGGATGACAAGATTTTCGGACCACCCTGTCGCGTGTCTGAATATATGTGAAAGTATGTGTGTGTATAATATATATCGTTTACGTATGCCTATATGTAATAGATGATGTGTATATATAATGTATGTGTGTGTATATATGCTGTATATGCTTTCGTGTGTGTGCGACTGTTTATGTACTCACTTCGTCTTCAGTTTGAATATGTAGTATAAACATATATTTAATTTCATTTAATATTGAATTAAAAAACCGTCAATCTTTGCAACACAATAAATTTTTTAAACTTTGACCATAATTTTAATATTCTTTTGCAAGTCAATAAACACCTTATCATTTGTCATTTAAAGAGTGAGTACATTTTTTGTGGGGGCGGGGGGGGTGGCACCATATATGTTTGCATTATTATTAATTTATTTCCTCTGGTATCTGGTTTATATTCATTTCTTTCTGTGTCAGAAATGGCATCATGACATTTTCTACTGAGCACATTTTGAAGAAAAATAAAAACGAAAAAAAAGCACCTAAAATCACACGTATTTTGCATAGTGTGGGTTCTTCTTGTGAATACAATTTTTCGATTTTCTTTAAGGTCTGAGCTACCAGAAATACCCTCAATGAGTCTATATTTGAATCTTTTCCAATCAATCCGAGAACTCCAACTACAACTGGGGCTGTTGATGACCTCATGTGCCACATTTTTGAGATTTCGATTCCAAGGTCCTTGAATTTTAATAAGTATTTCTGAAGATCTTCGAAGATACATCACAGTCTTCAGGGATTGTCATATCGATTACGATGCCTGGGCAATAGACTTTGATTGGTTTCTCTGTGTGTATTGTAAAATCCCATAAAATTGTTACAGGTCCTATCTTCGTAACTGTTTCTGGATAATGTTCATACCAGTTTCTTGCAGTTTCATTTCCGTAAAAGTTGCAGATTTTCCAATGCAGATATGTGCCCACTCTGTCATGCCGGGTTTTATATTCACTGAGTGTCAATTCCGTGCAACAACAACAATAATAATAATAATAATAATAATAATAATAATTATTATTATTATTATTATTATTATTATTATTATTATTATTATAAAAGTTAAAGTCTCTGATGATCTGTTAAGAGGCGAATCTGGAAGTCACCATGTAACGTGGATTTTTCAGGCCACACTTCAAAAACGTTCTGAAAGTATTCTTCCTAAATAACAAACTTTAAACTGATTATATATATCGCGAGAGAGAGAGAATTAATAATACAAATATAAAATTTGTCAGCCGATTAATATTATATATTAATTTCTAAAGAATTACTGGATTTTCTTTCTTTATTCGATATAGTTTTATTACCACAAATGTTGTTTTTAGTTGATAGCCCTACTGAGTAGAACCTCTGTTTTATTTCTCAAACGTGCAGGCTGTTAGGCGAAATAAATACAGTTTAAAAAGTTTAAACTAAAGCAAACAGATCGTCTAATCAAATACCTGTATACTCTCTAAAAATAACGTTTGAAACTTTGAAGTAATATAAAATTAAAAATATGTCAAACTTCAAATATAAACAATATCTGTGAAATGAAAAGACCGTATGAACAAAGAAAATAGGATTTTTTTTTCTTTGCTAAAAAAAAGAAGTCTTCCTTCCTGGTAAAAAAAAGAAAAAACTTCCGTTTTTTGTTATTCAATATTCATAGTTTTGTGAATTAAATATTAATCTCCAAAAGCATTTTTTTAGCGTGTTTAGAAATTAATATTTTTCTTATTAAAATTTTTGCTTATGAATATTTTCAGTTTATTTATTTTTACTTTTTAAGCTTCGACACAAAGTGAAGAGACCTCCAATATGAAACAAAAAAAATTATAATAATTTCACTGATTACAATCTTCGTAAAGTATATTTCAGTAGATGCTTGCTTTAAAACTAAAAGTCCTCGAAGGCCTTTTTTTGCAGTTTACACACACGCGCGCACACACAGACACAGACACAGACACACACATAAAAGTGTCGCCTTCGAACTGAGTTCTATTAATACTCATTCTAAAAAACACTAATTGTACTACTACTACAAGAAATTCTGAACTTACGTAATTTTAACTTTGCCAACAGAATTCCGGCCAAAGAAACAGAAGAGAGAGAGTAAGGAAGAGCAAGAAAGAGAGTAAAGAAGAAAGAGAGAGTAGGGAAGAGAGAGAGTAGGAAGTGAGAAAAGGTAAGGAAGAGTAGGAGAAAAGGAAGAGAGAGACTAAGGAGAAAAGACAGAGAGAGAGAGACTAAGGAGAGAGTTTAAAGACAGTAAAGACTAACAAAGAGAGTATGGAAGAGAGAGTGTAAAGAAGGGAGAGAGACTAACAAAGAGAGCGGTATGGAAGAGAGAGAGTAAGGAAGAGCAAGAAAGTGAATAAAGAAGAAAGAGAGAGTAGGGAAGAGAGAGAGAGTAAGGAAGTGAGAAAGAGTAAGGAAGAGTGGGAGAAAAGAAGAGAGAGAGAGACTAAGGAAGAGAAAGACAGTAAGGTAGAGAGAGTATGAAAGAGAGAGTTTAAGGAAGAGAGAGAGACTAACAAAGAGAGCGGTATGAAAGAGAGAGAGTAAGGAAAAGAGAGATTAATGAAGAGAGTAAAGAGAGAGAGGGAGTGGGGGTAAGGAAGAGAGAATAAGGAAGTGAGAGAGAGATTAAGGAAGAGAGAGTAAGAAAGAGAGAAAGTAAGAGAAAGTAAGGGAGAGAGAGAATAAGGAAAAGAGAAAGTAAGGAAGAGAGAAAGTAAAAGAGAGACTAAGGGAGAGAGAGTAAGGAAGAGAAAGTGTATGGAAAAGAAAGGTTAATGGATGCAGAGAGTAAAGAAGAGGGAATAAAGAAGAAAGAGAGGGGAAGAGAGATTAAGTAAGAGAGAGTAAAGGAGAGAAAGAGAAAGTAAGGAAGTAAGAGTGAGTAAAGAAGAGAGAGTAAGGAAGAGAGTAAGGAAGATGGAGTAAAGAAGAGAGCGAGAGTAAGGAAGAGAGAGAGAGAAAATAAGGAAGAGAGGAAAAGAGAAAAAGAGTAAGGAATCGAGAGAGAGAGAGGGGGGAGAGAGAGTAAGGAAGAGAGTGAAAGGTGGGAGATGGGGAGAATAAATGGAAAAATACATTAACTTCGCCACTTGATTCCAAACAGAAATTGTTTGACCCCATAAAAAAAGTTGTTTTTTCAACTCTCTAACTAAAAAAAAAAAATCACCCAAAAAACCCAGAACCTTGACCGACTTAAATACGGAAAAGACATCCAGATAATAAAATGCTTCGAGTTTTGTGGGTAATTTTTTTTTTTTCCACAGAGACTGCAAAAGGTGAAAACGTTATCACTTCACTTTTTGTTGTCCTGTAGATATAATAATACACAATTTATTTGTTGTTTACTAACACTAACAGTAAACGAGATACCAGTGGCGCAAAATGACGATCCTTTATTTAGAAAGCAATAAGAGCTCATCAAAAATAAAACAAAAAAGAAAAAAAAAACATGAATTAAAAACTTTCATAACTATTATCATTATTAATATGGAATTGACTTTTTTTTTTAACTCTGTTGATTACAATAAAATCTTATATGTTGAAGATGGCGCTTACGTATTCAGTACTAATACGGGGATCTGGTGTTATCAGGGTTTATATCAAGGAAGTAAAATTCATAAAAAAATATTTAACTGAGACCGAATAGCAGGGCTTGTGCAAGGGTTTTATGTCCCACCCTGAATCTGTGATACAGGGACCCCACATGTCGATTTTCATAAAGTAGTATTCATATAAAATACAAATTTTATTGTAAGTTAATAATGTACAAGTTAGGTGAACAATTCAACTAGAAAAGTTGAAAATAGATACAATGTATCTAACTAAATACAAATTAGAGATATGTCTTCATAGATCATTCGATTTTAAATAAGTGTTTAACATCAACTTGCGATTTTTCTTGTTTAAAAGTTGGATAATTTTAACACATTTAATATTAAGGATTAAAAAATATTGAATTTTATATAGTTTTTTCAAAATTTAGTACGAGCAAAAAAAATTCACGGATTTTGACGAAAAATAAAAATAACGTCAAAATCGGCGATAATTGTTCATCATTGAATAATCGTCAGTTGTGCTTAGTTGAACTGGTAACGTAGGTGGAAAAAAAAAAACAAATGTTGATAAGATAGCCAGGGGCACAAAGCACCTCCCAGAGATCCCAGTCAGGCTCACACAACCCTGTTGAGAGGGTCTGGGTGTAGTATACACCGGCCTTGCCGAATATAATATATTTGATTCGAAACAAGGAATGCATGATTTACATACTTTCTAAGCTAAGCTTAGTCAACTAGAGAGAATACCTAATCAGCTTAGTCGCAATGAACCCCCCCCCTCCTATGTCACGCATCGTGAAAATGATGTGAAATAATTTTAGTGCACAAAATCAGCCCCACAGACTTAAAGTTCGCTTCCAACACTCATAACAACCTGACCCCGAACTAAGAGTATCAGTATATGCCATGTCCCTTCAGGATGTGGGCAAACACGGCTCTCCACAATTTCCTGTCCTATGTAGCTCTTTTTTTTTCTTTGTGTGATCTCTTCTAAAACTTGTTCCACCATTCATTCACTCGCTAAGTAGGTTATGCCTTATTTTCCTCTGTCCCTCTCGCCTTCAATATGTCCTCTGAGTATCAGGTTTTCTAGCCCTCACTCCTCATTATGTTCCCTAGTAATTTCAACTTCCTCTTCTTGATGTTAAGCATAAGTATCCATTGTGTTTCCATTTTCTCCAAATCTTTGTCGTTGCTCACATATTCGGTCCATGGTATCCTCAGTATTCTTCTGTAAAACCATGTCTCCGTCGCTTCAAGTCTCTTCTTCTTCTGTGAAGTGATTGTGTTGAATCTATTGCCATATTAGAGGACTGTTAGTTAAACTTAACTCCACAACTAGGCGTCATTGATATTTTGTTAAATTGCGATGTGTTTGACACAAGGTCACAACTAAAGAGTAGCCAGTGAGAACAAAAGCGAGGCTATTTATCTGTTGCAGTTCAAATTACAGCAACCAAAAGTAAAATATTAAAACTACAACGCTCTGGTAAGTATCTGACTCTCCCTGTAGCATCTATAAGAGCTAGACCATGAGTACCTCGGCGTGGTGTAATGGTTAGCAATCTTGTCTCGTTAGATCAGTTACGACTGAAAAGTGAGTTCGATCCTCACTAGGTGTCGCATACTTTCGGCCTTGTGCCACATCTAAGCTACGCTTAGAAAATAACTAGGGCACCTCGAGGCGGTGTAATGGTTAGCAAGCTTGTCTCGCTAGAACAATTAGTAGTGAGTTCGATTCTCACTGAGTGCCCCCTACTTTCGGCCTTGTGACACATCTAAGCTACGCTTGGAAAATCACTATAAGAGCTAGACCAGGTCGAGTACGGCTGCTATACATTGGCAGGAGCTGCCTAGTCTTCACTTTCCGGTTCAAAAGTATCTGTTGGTCTTTTCGGGTGATGACTTATTTTCCTCCCTATAAACCTTTTCCTCTCAGACGAAATGTTCGAAGCCTGAACTATCATCAATCACGATTAACGGGTGTTCCTTAAAAGTGGCCTTGAGCTTTAAGCGCTTATTGGGACTTAAACACACCCCAATCCTCAAGTGGAACTCGTACACACGATCCATCGCTAAAGATGTTCGGATCCATGTACCTCTCCAGTAAGTACCTCACTCCGACTGCTAAACTTTACCTTTACAAGAGCCAGATCAGATGGACTACTGTTGCCATATATCGACAGGAGCTGCACAGTCTTCACCTTGAAGTATCGATAGCGTCCAAAAGTGTATCCGCGTCCTTGTGGGTGACAAATTATTTTCCATCCTGCAGCTCTTTCTCACAGACGAAACGTCGCAGGCCTCTCACTGCTCCATCGTTATTTCCATGGAATGTTCACAAACGAACTACATTCCTTAATTCCGTCAACACTAACCTTCACGGCTAGGACCCGCCATGCTACACACTACGATAGCGAACCATCTTCTTTCGAGCGGCTTCTTTTCATAAACCGCTGCTTAGTGGAACCGAGTTGCAAGAAGATCCTTCACCGATCACTATAATCTTAACCCGTTCAAGTCCAAGGTTAACCTTTATCTTCTCCACATATCCCATAAACTGTCCTTATTCAGCAGGGGTCTTGGGAATTGTAAAAGATGAACATCATTATTAAAGATTCAGTGAAGCCACGAGAGTGTAGTTTAGAAAGCGGTGGGATGCAGACATGATTTAACAGATTTTACCGCAAGTCAAAGAAAAAACTTGAAACAACAGAAATGCGGTTCTACAAAAAGGTGCTGAGAATACGATGATCCGAACAATGAAGTTTTAGAGAAAATAGAAAGAAAAAGAACGCTTATACTTAACACCAGGAAGCTTAAATTTATAAGGTACATAATGAGAAAAGACGGCTTCGAAAAATTGATACACACGGGACAGATTGAGGGACAGGGGAAAACAACGTATAACCGACATGGCGGGCTTGAGTGGCTGGATGGTGGAGCAGATTTTGGGAGAGTTGGCAAAAAAAGACAACAGTTATTAATAGCTACAGGGGACAGAAAATTGTGGAGAGTCATGATCGCCAGCGTTTCTGAAGAGGCATGTCACGTAGGAGAAAAAGTTAGAGGAGTCGAACTGTCACAACGTCGGGTTTATTATGGGGAACACGAGCGCGTACACACAGGCCAAAGACAAAAATACACCAAGCCCCCGCAAATGTAGGTTGCGCTGGCCTCGGTGGCCAGAACCGATCCCTCTATTTAGTGCAATGAGAAGGTGCAGCTTCGGGCAGTTGTTCCCCAGAGTTGTGCACCTCAAAGTAATATTTTTCCTCTGTTGCGCCTCTGTCCTCAGACGGAAATGCAACTGAGCCGCACTCTGCCCGAAGACAGAGACGCAACTGAGAGATAATAAACCCTACCTGGCATGCGCCAGGTAAGGATTAGAAAATGGTAAACACATTTTTCCAAACTTCAAGTGCATTTGTATTATATTCACTTTGGCTCGGTACGCATCCATTGTAAGAAGTGTCTCCCTTAAGTCAATAATCAGTACGCGTTGACAGATTGCAATATGTGTAATAGCGTTCTGCTTGATTTAACAAAATAAATACAAGAATAAGCTGTTACTTAAATGTTTTTTTATCCATCTGATGCAACATACCTAATGTGTTTTGTTAAAATAACAACAGAAAAGGGGTCAATGTTCGATTTTAATTTCTCTGCTTCGATTGCAGTTGTAAAACGCTAATGTACATTCAAAAACAATGTTTCGAATTTCAAGTATAAATTCAAGCTGACACGTTTATTCTTCTTCTATGTACCGCTCCATCGATTAAGTGAATATTGTTTGAAATTAATTATTCGAAAGCAATTATTCGAATTGTAAATTGAATAAAAATTAATTGAAATGACAATTATACCAAATGATAATTATTCGAAATGCAAAAACACTTTATTACAATAAAAATAAAAATTAAAAGAGGAAATACAAATATCGTTAATAAAACAATTTAGTAAGAAAAAATCCTTATGACCTTAAGTTATATGATACTACACACAAATAGTCAACTACTGAAGAATACTCGTTAAAAGATGCCATTAATTTTTAAGTTTTCCATCGACGTCGCCGTATTTCTTGGCGCCCTTCATATTTTAGCAACCTGCTCTTAATTTAGCAACATGAATTTCTTGCAAGTCCTGTTCTCTTTTAAGAGCCTCTAAGAATTTTCACATTGTGAGACTTGCTGTAAAAAAAAAGCCCTATGCCATCCTTCAAGGGTGTTATTAGTTCTTGGTAAATCAGCATAGATTCTCTTAAAGCAAGACCACATACTTATTTCAAACATAGGTATTTTGAATAATTATCATTTAGTATAATTGTGCTTTCGATTAAATTTCTTTCAAAGAGTTTACAATTCGAATAAATGTTTTTCGAATCAGTGTTTTCCAACAATTTTCTCGATACGGACCCCATCCAAGACATCACGGCTCTCCACATCTTCCTATCTCAAGTGGCTCTTAGCAGTTTTTATCTATTTGGTAAGGCTCCCTCTGTTCCGCTTGCTGTTTTCCTCAATTTCTCTTGCCTTCAATCCGCTCCGTAAGGGTTAAGTTTTCCAATAACTTGTTCCGTGTCCAAAGAATTTCAGTTATCTTTCGGTTCTTAGTAGAAATGTTCTTTCTGTTGCCATTTTCTTTAATACTTCCCCGTTGCTTACTCACTCCGGCCATAGAATTTCCAATACCCTCCCTCCTAGAGAACCATATTTCTGTTGCTTATTGTTTTCTCCGCATCCGTGGAAAGATTGTTCAGCATTCACTGCCATAGAAGAGGATAAATAACAAATAGTAATCCATCACTCACTCCATCATTTTTTTTTCTAAAGATTTTTTCCCCATTTCTCGGCACTTTTTGGAAGGTTTCTTTCGCTAGTTCAATGCGTGTTTTTATCTTGGTGTCGTATTTTCCATCCTCTGTTAAAACAATTCCCAGATATTTAAACTTCAGCACCTGCTTGATGTTTTCATCACAATTTGTATCTCGCATCTTGGGCTTATTTTTTATCTTGTTGATGGTCATACTTTCTGCCTACTTGCACTTAATGGTTACTCATTTCATCGTTTTTTTTTTTTTTTTTTTGGGGGGTTGGGGGGTCCTACTAGTCTGTCTAGAAGATCCTGCAGTTTTCTTTCCGAGTTAGCCATCAACACAGTATCATCTGCGTATCTTATGTTGTTAATGATTACGATAATGCAGGTAGGTCACCAGTTTCCGTAGAATAGCGTCGCTGTAGAGGTTGAATAAATCAAGTCACATACTTGTCTCACGTCCCTTTAGATTTTTGTGTAGCTAAATTCCTGTTCTATCCTAATGCAGGCGGCTTGCTCACAGTATAAATTCAGGATTATTCTAACATCTTTTCCAAAAAGATCTAGTTTTCCTAGTAGTTTAAATAGATCTTTGTACCGTCAGTCAGTTATGTGCCATTCGTGATAGGCGATTATGTCTCTTATTTCGATACATAACTGACGAGGCAGATTTTTTTTCCGCAGTAGGTTGCCATTTCTTTCTGCGCTAGACCATTTGCTATCCAAGGCTATAGAATCCGGCCTGTCCTGCTATTTACCCATAGCTGGAGGGAGAAGAAGAGGATTCATACCTTTCCCAAGTGTATTAGCACATACATTTGCTTGATCTATAAAACATAAGTGCACATCCTTCTGTATTTGTATTGTTCTCACCGATATTATTCTAATCATGAACATCGCGTTTCTTGTTCTAGCGTCTTTCACAAATCGGCACCGTTCTGTTTAGCAATTTCACGCCTATCACAGACTTTGAATTTGAAGACTTTTATAGTCATTTGATAAACTATGCCTTCATTTAGTTCTTTAAAAAAAAAAATTAATAAGGGAGGTGATAAATTCCGTAAGCTGTCCTCCGTGTATAGTGTCCAATTTTAGTGGTATTCGTATATTCGAAAATTATTGCCGGATTTGGGATGTTCGATACCTCAAATTTCATGTGGAGGATAGAAAGATTAGGGCAAACATGGAAAAATATACCCGCAATGAGATACATTATCTAAAGGTTGATTTTTACAGTGACACCACTTTTTTTTTAACTACCTTCATTATTCGGCAGTGTTTATTGATTTAAAAAGCGATAATTAGAATTGCAATAAGACCTAAACATATGATGAAAGTTAATTTATACATTTTTTAATCGTTGAGAATTTGCAGCAAAAATATTAAACACTATTTATTAGATTGTTAATTTACATTAATAATTTTATATCTACAACATTATAAAACTAATACAGTTTAGAACTAATACAATGCGTTATTTATCATTTACCAATTTATAAAAAAATAAATATGAAAACAATTTTTTATTTATAAGTTTATAAACATTTACTAAATTATTAAAATATACGAACCAACTATAATGAAATCCTTATTATTTACCATTTTATGAAGTTCGAATCAATGGGCAATTAGCCGATGTTTTGGCGATCATTCCAGTAAACAATATAATGAATAACTAGCAAACAATCCAATATAAATAGAGTTTAATATTTTTGTTGTCAATTCAGGTGATGAAGAGATGGATTCATCCCTTTCCCAAAGAGTATTTGCACATAATGAATTCGAACTCGATTCTACGATTTCATGCTGCTACCTATTACACTACCAGCACATCCGATATATAAGTTCAGTCCGATTGAAATCCTTTTCTAAGACAAACAATTTACATTTTCGCTTTGTCATTCAATTTTCATAAAATTGTTCTGATATACAGAAAATCATATATATATATATATATATATATATATATATATATATATATATATATATATATATATATATATATATGAAGTATAAAAAATGACCATACTTAGGAACAGGGCCTGTGCATACTACCGCAGAACCCAATCTAATCGGGTGCAAACCTGATTTGGGGGGAGGGGGGTCAGTGCTTTGTGAGCCTCGTTATCTTATCAATATTTACTTTTTTTCTACCTACATTTATGTACATACAAATTAAACTAAGTGCATCTGCCTATTAAAGGCTGAAACATTTCCGTAGATTTCGATGTTATTCTAGAGTCTTTTTTTTGTCCAAATCCGTGAATTTGTTTTGCTCATGCTAAGTCTTAAAAAGCCCCACATATAAAATTCACTATTTTTTATCTATAATGTTGAATGTGTTAAAATTATTCAAATTTTTAACACGAGAAATCTCAAGTTGATGTTAAAATCTACCGCAAAACGTTGATTTATTTAAAATGGAATGATCTATTACGACGTGTCTCTAATTTGTATTTAGATACATTGCATTTATTTTCAATTTTCCTACATTAATTGTTCACCGATATTGCATATGGTCCATTGTTGTACATAACCAGGTTGCAATAAAATTTGTACTTTATATGAATACTACCTTGGTGGGAGCGATACCATAGTTTCGAGGGTGTGGGGCGTATCACAGATTTGGTTGAGGCACCGGTCTTTTCATACGATAACCATTTAAGATAGTGGTTCCCAAAACTTTTTTTCTAGGTCGGAATTTCGGAATGAAAATTTGCTCACGCCTCACCAAATTTTATGTGATAAACAGTATATCTAACTATAGAAAACAGAGAGAAGGTTAAAGGGAGATGACCGCGGATTCAAAGTCAGAATAATATCATTGGTAACTCTCTTGTCCAATTTGCAGACCCTACAGAGTCTGTCTATATTTCTGAGATGAGGTATTATGTACATTAGTCAGACTATTGTCCTCATCTTTGTCGCCATATTTGTCACAACGTTTCGGCCGTTGTACGCTCCGGCCTTCTTCAGATGGTTGGAATTTCGAACTGAACCCTTTATTTCGATCACTGGGGTAGACTGTTCATACCCAGATGTCCTCAAGTACACATGGCACAGTGGATAAAGGCGTTGGTTAGATCCAGTGACAGACACAAAGAAGGTGAGTTCAATACCTGGTTAAGGCAGTGGAGAACTTTCAGAGGGAAAATTAGCAGGAGATAACTGATAACTGACATCCATCAAACATGGCAGGTGGAACTAGAACAGTCTACCCCAGTGATCGAAATAAAGGGTTCAGTTCGAAATTCCAACCACCTGATGAAGGCCGGAGCGTACAACGGCCGAAACGTTGTGACAAATATGGCGACAAAGATGAGGACAATAGTCCGACTAATGTAAATATTGCAGACCCTAGTTACTATATTCTTAATACTTGATGTAATACAAAAATATGACTGATTAAATCGATCAATAATTATTTTAACTATTTATACTGGAACTCATGCATGTAATCCATAATAATATTTGAAATTTTGAAATCATATTTATTTTTGGCATATGAATTTTTGAAATTGTTTCTAAATTTTTGATTGTCTTTCAGTCTTTCCTCC